ACTTCTGCAAGTGTATCAGCAGCAGAAGGAACACTAGAAAAAATGTGGGCCTGCTGCTGAGTGGGGTGGTGGTAACAGAGAAGGTGGAAAAGGCAGAGATAGTCAATGCCTTCTTTACCTCTCTCTTTACAAGTAAGATTTTCTTTCAGGAATTCCAGGACCCTGAGACCAGTGGGAGCATCTGGAGTGACGGAGAATCGCCCTCAGTAGAGAAGATCAAAACATTTAAATGAATCCATGGGGCCCAATGGGGTACACCCACAAATGCTGAGGGAGCTGGCAGATGTCATTGCAAGGCCAGTCTTAAGTACCTTTGAAAGGTCACAGTGAACACAGGAGGACTGGAAGTTCAACGCCAGTGTCATGCCTAGTTTCAAAGAGAAGGGGAAGGATGTGTGGAACTACAGGCCAGTCAGCCTCACCTCAATACCCAGGAAGGTGATGGAGCAAATGATTCTGGAAACCATTTTCAAATATGTTAACCACAAGAAGATGATTGGGAGTCATCTGCATGGACTTATGAAGGGAAGATCATGCCTGACCAGGCTGATAGTCTTTCTTCTATGATGAAATTACTAGCTTGGTGGATGAGGAGAGAGCAGAGGATGCTAATCTTTAGCAAGGCGTTTATCACTGGCTGTCATAGTATCCTCATTAACAAACTGCTGACTAGACAAGTGGACAGTGAGGTAGATTGAAAATTGGCTGAAATGCCAGGCTCAAAATATTGTAATCAGTGGCACAAATTCTAGCTGTAGACCAGTTACTAATGGTGTACTCCTAAGGTCAATACTGGGGCCACTACTGGTCAATAATGCTCCTTAATATTCCTGAATGATGGGACAAGGTGCACTCTCAGCAAGTTTGCAGAGAATTGAAGACTGGGAGGAGTGGCTGATACACCATACGGTTGTGTTGCCATTCAGAGTGATCTTGACAAGCTGGAGAGATTGGCCAAGGGGAATCTTGTGGAGTTCAACAACAGGAAATGCTGAATCCTGTACCTGTTGAGTAATGTCCCCCAGAGATTACTAGGGGCTGGGGACCAATCAGCTGGAAAGTAGCTTTACAGAAAAAGGCCTGGGAGTCCTGGTGAACACCAGCTTGAACATGAGACAGCCATGTGAACTTGCAGTAAAGGTAGCTAACAGTATCCTTGACTGCAGTAGGAGAAGCGTTGCTAGCCAGTCAAGGTGGGTGATCATTTTTCCCTACTCAGCACTGGTGAGACACATCTGGAGTGCTGGATTCAGTTCTGGAGTTCCTGGTGCAGGAAAGATATGGATTTACTGGAGCAAATCCAGCAAAGAGCTGCAGAGATGATTAAGGGACTGCAGAATTTGTCATATGAGGAGTGGCTGAGATTTGGAAGAGAGTAGGCTCAGGGTGATTTTATCAATGAATCTAAATACCTAGTGCTGGAAAGAGCAAATAAGAGGGAGCCGGACTCAGTGGCACCCTCAGAGAAAAGGGTTCAAGTGAAGGGACAAGAGGCAATAGGCACAAACTGACACACAGGAAATTGTTTTTAAACAGAATTAAAAGTTGTGTTTTTTTTTTTTTTTTTACTGTGGTGGTGATGAAACACTGGTGTAGATAGACCAGAGAGGTTGTAGAGTCTCAACCTATGGAGATACTCAAAATGCAACTAGACACAGCCCTGGGCAACCTGCTCTTGCTGATACTGCTCTAAGCAAGGGGGGATGCACTTGGTGGTCTTTAGATATCCTATGATTCTTTCACTTAGTTATTTGGATTAATTTCAACAGCATATGAGTATTTCTTCTGGGTTCACTGGTTGTAAAGACATTTCTGATGTTTCCAAAGTTTATGCATGCCCATGGGGCCTAAATATACTCTTTTTCTTTTTTTTTCATTTAAAAATATAACTAGAAGTGCTCATCCAGTGCCTGCCGTAAGATACCATAAAGAGTAGGCTTACATTTTGAGCAGCCTCAGAAAAAGAAAGAGTGGGCTCAGAATCAAGGGTAGGAATAGGTTCCACTTGGACACAACTGATGATCTCTACACTGGGGGTATGTCATTCACAGAGGTGGTCTCTGAAGAGATCAAATCCTGAAGGCTTTATAGCTTGAAATCTACTCTGAAGTTTTGTCTAGAAGCCTATTAATGGTTAGTGCATGTGCAGAGCACTGCAGATTTGAGTCATAAGGGATCTGTGCTGCTCTGTACTATCTTCATCTTCTACATTCTCCCTCATACTCTGCATTGAGCACATGAAAACAGCACACCATCAGTACTTGTGCAGTGATGAAGAGCTGATAGCAACACTCTCATACACTCTCCCTGATTTACCCATGGTGTCAGTCACAGATAGGAATTTTATAAACTCATTTGTATGCACTGTCCACCCACAAGCTTTATCTCAGGTTGTGTGCATGTTGAGTCACAGACAGGTAGTTCTTGTTCTAAGTCCCAGCTTCATTAAGCTGCGGGTAATAACAAAAGCTATTTCAGTCTCACTCTCAGAAATAGTAAGAGAAAGGTGTAAATAATTTCTTTACAACAAAGCCCCCTCACATCAGTAGAAAAATGCGAACAGCAAGTTCTAGCTAGAAGTGCTTGCTGATTTGCTCACCCAGTAGGAGCTTTCATCCAGATCAAGAAATTACTGGTGGACTATATCAGACAGATCACTCTTGTCTGCATGCTTGCTGACCTCATAAAAAAACTGTCTAGAGGCCCAGAATGTAAATACTTCATTTAGAGAAGATGTGTTGGCACTGCCCAGATATACCATATTTATCCAGTTGCACTCTAATTCCATTCTTCATTGCAGTTTCTACTGCTTTGCCTGTCACTGATGTTAGGCTTGTCAGCCTTTAGTATTGTCCACCCTGTCCCCTTATTTCCCCATGGAGAACTTTCAGGCAGTCTCTGCTGACTCCCTCAGAAAGAAGGGTTCAAGTATGGAGTTTATCTACTTATTCCAGTGACCACATACAAATACATCATTTAGCTTCTCTGGAAATGCTTTTGCCTCTCCTCTTTTTCAGTCTGCAGTTGTTATTTGAGCCATTGGACTCCAGTGGGCTTCTTGGGGTTCATGTGTCTAAGGGAAGATTTAATATTAAACTGGATTCCTTTTGCTAGCTGCTGCGCACACTTTTTATTGTTCTTTCAATGTTCTTTCCTTTAACATGTCAGTTTATGATCTTTTCTGTGTTTTTCACTTGGAGATGACTTAAACGTCTTGTTTTTAATAATCTACTCGTTAGATTATCTGAGATAATTGAGATTATCTGTGCTCATTTCCCTTTACCAGTTCTCAAGTCTTCAGTTGATGGCATACACTGATGCTGTGCTGTGCATCCTTCAGCAAATTCAGCTCCACCTTTAAGAATTTACTGTTCCTAGCTGCTCTTTTTTGTTTCCTCTTCACAAGCTTCCTCATTTCTATGTCTCTGTCCCTTTTGAAACTGGGTGCAACTGCTGTGAATGCTTGGGCTTTCTCAAGCCTGTGGGAATTTTGCAGGAACAGCAACTGTAAGATGAAGATGTAGGACAAGACCTTTCACGTTAATAAGGACCAAATGAAGGGCTGCATCTTTTCAGTAGCCCCTCTGTCCCATGGGAGTGCTCCATGAAGCAGTACGGTTGGAGCTGAATGTAGTTTGTGTGGCATTCCAATGCTGCAGTGTCCAGACAACATGGGGGTTAACTGAAATACAGTTCTGGTTGTATTTCCCACCCTCTTTGACCATCTCTCTCTGTCAGCTCAGCATATCCTCTCTGTTCTTCTGGCCAGGCAGGCAGTCTGCAGACTCAGTATTACAGACACTTAAAGATGGCATTTGGTCTATGCAGATTGTGTCACCTGCTAGTTCCCTACTTTGCTAGTTTGATTCGATTGTAAGATTTCACTAATAGATTTCACTACCTCATCACTAGCAGAGGTGACTTTTATTTTTTTCTGTATATTTTATATTCTGTTATGGAGATGTTCTATATGTGTCTAGCATGTCATTGTCTTTGTGTAAGACTAGACATATGGTTTCCCTCAATTTATTCATTGGTTATTTAGCATTTGTGTAGAAGTATGCATTATTGCAGTGTTTGTTTCCTTTTTCATCTTCCATTTGAAAGGCAATCTGTCTGTTTTCCGTTCCTTATTTCTGCTGTCTAGCCAATCCTGCATTTAAAAAGGCACAATTTCTAAGCTGTTGCTAACCACATATGGAATGGTGTGTTCCCCACACTTGCTGCTCTTCAGTTCATAGCTTAATCAATCACAACCTTTAAATGCCAGCAGTTTAGCCCCCAGTGAGTCCACCCTTTTTACACAGGTTATTTTATATCAGAAGTGCTCCCAAATCCAGATCAATCTGAAATTTTCCTCTTTGTACCATGCTCTCAAATGCACATTGAAATTTTGCCCCTTTCTGGTCATACAAAAGGCAGTGGGAGCATTGGGGAAAGTGCTGATGAAGGTCTTATCTTCCCTTCAACAAGCTGAATTTTGCCTGCAGAACATCTTGTGAGACTGAAAGCCACAGGCTCTTCCCCAGCACTTTTATTGGAGCTGTTCTGCTTTGCATGTTTAAAGAAGACAAAAAGTTTTTTTTGTTTGAATGTAAAAGATCTTCCACCTGAATGAATTTGTATCTGCTTAAAAACATTTCCCAAATTACAAATGATGTTCTTTCATAAACCATTCCTCCAAACAATGGTTTTTTTTTGCAACAAATGTAATGCGGCACAAAATATCATCTGAGTTGCCAGGTCCCACAATCATAATTTGAGTTATAATCCTACACTGGCACAGTGACAACAGAAAACAGCTTTTGAGGGGACTGAGCATATAAACATTGCCAGTAGAGATACTACACCGAGGTACAATTTCCATTAAAATTGCACAGTATACGTATCTGTACCTTTTTTGACATGTTACAAAACAGTATCATTTACCACTTACTTTACAATTTTAAGCAGTTCCCTGAATGTTAAAATACCGTTTGTATTTTTTGTTGTTGTTCCAGGAGCATGCAGAGATCCCAGCAGGATTCGAAACCAAACCAACACTCAGAGAAAGACATTCCCTGCTGTCAACAGGCAAGATGCAGACTGAATGTGTCCACACTTTCACAAGGTTTTTTTTTTTTCTCAAATTTGTTTCTAGTATTTGAGTAGGCCTTGTCTAATCTGAGTTTGAATATACAGCAGGACAGAGCCAGAGCCAGTACTACAGTAGCTGGCACTGTTACATTTGGGTAAAAAATAGAGGTTGGTTTTAGAAAAAAGATTTGTAATACCTATTATTATCTCTGGAAGTTACCTACCATGTTTCTATGCAGTAGAAGTACCAGAACAGTCTCTAAAATGCTATAATAACATCTAGCCTATTTATTATGAAAGATGACACTTTCAAAGAGTCAAGCGTAAGGATCCCTAGCAATAATAAACTCTTCAAACGCAATGAAAAACTCAAAACTTTGGAACTTGTGCCGAAGAGTCATACAGAGAATGTTAAAGGATGTAAGAAATAGATAAAAATTCAACTGAGAGAGCGTGTGATTTCATCTTAAGTTTACTCTACAGTCCAACAGCTTCATAATGTGCTAAAGGTTAGGCTGTGGCTGACGAAATGGGAAATCTAAAGCAACAGCAGAGAAATGCCATTTTCCTTTGGTTCCCTTTTTGCTTGAAGTGAAATATATTCCTTAATGCTTAAAAAGAATTAAGTCCTCAACATCCAGTTAAAAAAAAAGACAGCAAATAAAGTAAGTGTCCATAAAGAAAAGACCATCCAGGCGGAGTTGCTGCAAAACCAAGTCAAAAGTTACTGCTCTAAAAGACCTCTCTGTATCCAAATCAGTTGCTGGATGCTTGTCACTTCCCTTTGAATTTTAGTAATTTTTTTCCATAGCCACACGTGGAATTAACTCAACCAGACCAAACTTGAGTATATGTCAGAAAAGAACCACCTGGCTTTTAGCCATGCTCCTGGAAAAAGTTGCAATTGTCCAGTTTTCCTGTCCATTAAACTACCTTTAAACATGACCAGGGCTGGTATTTTAAAAGGATAGCCGGTACTTTACTCAAACCATAGCCATATTCTAACATGAAACTTAGCAGCAGAATCTAGGTAGGACTGAAATCTTTGCTAGCTACTTTGTGGGCACTATGACTTTCTCAAAGTCCCCTGCCTCAGGAAATAACTCTGCTCCTGCAACTCTTGTAAGCCCTCATTTGTTTGATTGTTGGTTTTGGGGTTTGTTTTATTTTTTTTCTGTAAGGGCCTGGGTATTGCAAGCACCAATGTTGCAAGGCAGGAAAAGTGATAAACAACTAGTGTTCCCCGTTCAGATGTCACAATTTCAAAGTCACTGCTGGAGGGAGCAGAGAAGAGGAATTACCATCTCCAGAGTCTCTTCCCACTCATGGGAGATGCTGGAGGTAGCAAATCCTTTTCCAGCGTTCCCTTTGTGCTCACTGGCATGTGGATGTGCTCAGCCTAGCCAGAAAAACTGGATTACAATGTGTGGATTGTAAAGAGAGGGAGGAAGGTTGCTCATGCAATGTATTTATTTCATGTGGTAAGCAGAAGAGAGATGGGGTGGAGATTTATGGATAGACAGGTGTTGACACTTTCTGCAGATAATGCTATTGTTATAAACGTACGGGAATAAAAGCAAAGAAGTTATCTGTTGATGAGCAAGAAAGACTCCTGCTAGAAACACGAGGCTCTTATTCATGATGTTGGCACCTTGAAAGGCTTTTTTGACTGGAAAGGCAAGAGAAAAGGCTCCTGTGCATTACTGTCAGCCCTGTGGTTGGGTCCCTCCTGTGTATGAAATTCTGTATTTGGTTATCTCTCCAGGCGTGACTGAAGTTTGCTTTGCTATTAGGTGCTGCTTTGCAATGAGCTGTAGGTATTCATGGGGACATCATAATGTTTGTGATTTGCAATCAAGAAATTGTTCATTGATTATGCTGTGGGTAATGCTGTTGCTCAAAGCCCTGTCCAACCTGGCCTTGAACACTTCCAGGGATGGGGCAGCCACAATTTCTTTGGGCAACTTCTGCCAGTGCCTCACCACCCTCACAGGAAAGAATTTTTTCCTAATGTCTAATCTAAATCTACCCTCTGTCAGGTTAAAGCCATTCCCCCTTGTCCTGTCACTACATGCTCTTGTAAAAAGTCCCTCTCCAGATTTCTTGTAGGCAAGATGTTTGCATATTAGCTTTTAATTGATCATTTCCACAGATGACAAAAGATTGTACTGCAACTTGTTTTATCTGAAGAAAAAAAAAAAACCCACCCCCCAAAAAAACAAATACTGCCCCCGTCCCCCCCCAAAAAAAACAACAAAACAAGAAAAAAACCAAAATGATAACAAACCAAAAAAGTAAGTATTTGTGTTCAGGCTTTTTAAAAAATGCTCTTGATATAAACCCCAGTAAAGCTACTATTTAGATGTGATCTTTAATAACTTCCTATTCTTTAAACTTCTGTCCTCAAAACACTGACTTCTTGCTTGGTGCATAAAACTTGAAACTAATAGCTGTACAGGTGTGAGTCTATGTGTCTCTACTGTTCAGCTGACGTCAGACAGAAGGAATGCATTTCGTGTATCTTCTCTTACATTAATGCGTACAAGGCCAGGTTGGACAGAGCCTTCAGTGACATGGTCTAGTGTGATGCAAACCTGCCCATGGCAGAGGAGCTGGACCTAGATGATCTTAAGGTCCTTTTCAACCCTAACTATTCTATGATTCTATGATTCTGTCACAGAGTTTAAGTGTAGGGCAGGCACATGCACACGAAACTGTAACAAAGAGGCATGAGTGCAAACAGCTATCCATCCTATCCTTGAGCATTCTTTAATTTTTGAGTCAGGATGGGGGTCAGATCTTGTGTTACCCTGTATGATATTTTATAAACAGATAAAAAAGGACCTCAAATTGGATGTGCATATTGGGAAACATATATGTTAAGGTACCTTAAGAGAATCTCTATTAATATACATATTTGCTCATACATGTTCAGTAAATAGGATGCTGTTAATGTCACAGTTGGTCATGTATGGTCAGTAAATATCCACTGAACGCTATTAGTTTCAAGGTTAAACTCCTCACTACTCTCCATAGCAAAACTGGGACGGTCACTGACTACATTGAAAGCAGCACACATTCAGAAAGGTTCATGGGCATGCAGGGTTCACACGTGCTGTTCTTGTTGTGGTGTTTTATTTAAAAAGAGACACGCCATCCTACCACATATTTAATTTTAGTTTCAATAGCTTGCTTTTGTATCAGGCTCACCAGTGGGGAAATTCTGCCTTCCACACTCTGCATGGAGACTCTGAACCTTTGCTTTTTCAGAAAACAAACTGTTTCTGGTAGCACAGCATTGATTTTGCTGCAGCTGCTGACCCCCCTCTATCTGAACCTTATTTCTGATTTTTCAGATAGTCCCTGCCTTGCCAGGCAGGTATTGGTCTGTGGTTTCCAGCTGGAGAGAACATTTGCTCACTGACAGATGCCTGGTTTTGTTCATCTCTTTCTGCCCAATTCCCAGCTTGGCACACCCTCAACTCCTGTAGTCTTTGGATGTCCAGATGGGTATATTTGAAACACATAAAACAGACTTCACGTTGCTCTTCCCATATTTTTGAAAATCTAGTATTTCTTTTTCTGAGTAACTGCTCTTTCAAGTCTAATCTGAATAGATTTTCCTAGCCAACTTTTTTTTTCTTGTGACTCTGCAAGTGCTTTCCTGCACAGCTGGGGTTCAAGCTGTACAGCCTTTAACAGCTCAGCACTGAATCCCCCAAAATGCAGCTATAAACAGCTTATTTTATTTTACACAGTTTTTGTCAGTTTCCCTTATTTCGCTTTTCCTCCTTCAGGCCAACTGGTTCTCTGTGTCTTTGTGCTTTTATTTTTGGTTTCTGTATCTTCCTGTAGACAGCATCATAATTTTCTCAGCAACAGTCATTTCAACTGCTCTCAGCCTCATCCCCCCCTCCTGCCTCCTTTCCCTGGCAGAAAATGATCAGACAATTGCAATTTTAGCTGCTAGCTACCATAAAACTCAAAAAAAAGCATGGCAAGGCTACCTGGCCTGCTTCTGTTCCCTCGACAGATTTGCAAAGGTCCAGCTAGCAAATTTGCAGAGGCAGGTCTGCAATGGGGAGGGAGGGATGGGGAGGGAGGAAGGGAAGAATGGTGCCTGGCCGTGGAGTCCCTAATGCTCGCCATGGTGGTGAGGGCCACGGCCCTGTGCTGTCAGCCACTCCCTGACTCAAGGACTGCTGCGGCATGGAGGGACCCTACAGTAACACCAGGTCCTTCAGTTGATCCCAGGCACAGCAGCAACCCCTGTCCCTACCCCACAGCTCCTGGCCTGGCTCCCAGTGCCGTCAGGGCCATCACGCTGACCATGGCCAGCACACGGCCTCACAGCCTGACACGGATGAGTATCACAGGGTAACCTTTAGAAATTGTGTTGAGCATTTTTTAAGCGTTTTACTTCAGTGTATGCTGTCATTAATTCTAGTTTATATTCTCTTTAGGTTTTGCTTTTTCTTCACTTTCAGCACTTTCACCTTCCCTTTATTTCCTAACTTCTAAAAACTTTAGCTTTAACTTTAATTACCGAGTGATAATTAGGCCCGGTTTGCTATTTTTAGTTTCTTTTTCCTCCCCCTTTTCACTATTTATTTCCTCCTTCCTTTTTCCCTTCATTCCCTCCCTCCTTTTTTAACCCCTGTCCTAATTCTGCCTTCAGTTTTCTTCATCTTTACTCTTTTCCACTCGCGACTCCCCTTCCCTTTCCCGTGTCTCCTCCACCCCCAGCTGTAACTCCCTCCGCCCGAGGTAGCCGGGCCCTGCTGGTCCCTTCCCCGGTGCCCCGACCCCTCACACCCGGACACCGCCCCGGCCCGGCCCCGCCCCACACCTCGCCTCAAACCCGGGGCCGCTCCTCTCCTGGAAACAAGTGACGCTGCCCGAGTGGGCCAATCCGGGCCGGCTGCTTGCTGTCCCGGCCAGCCGGCGGCGGGCGCGACGCTCCGGCAGCTTGAGTCCGGCGCCGCGCCCGCTTCGCGCAGCCTGCGCGCTGTGCGAGGATGGCGCGGGCGGCGGGGCTTTGCCTGCCCTTCTGGGGCCTCGCCTGCCTCCTCCACGCCTGGCTCCTCGCTTGCTGCGTCGCCCGTCGGAACCCCTCAGGTAAGGCGGGCGCCTACCCTGCGAGGGGGAAAGCGCTGCGCGGGTGCGCTTCGGCGCAAGGGGTGCGGAAGGGCCATTCCCACTTCGGCGGGCGCTTGTGAGGGAAAGGAGGCGCTGTGAGGGGCCTCCGCTCCGACGGTTCCCGGCTTCTCCGTGCGTTGCGCTAGGAGACAAAGTCTGGCTGCGTGGAAACAACGTGCGAAACTTACGAGGAGGAGCAAGAGAGGGAAGAAAGAAAAACCCCACGGCTTCTTCCTGGGGCGTCGCGAAAGCAGCCGCTGCCCCGCCGCCTCCGGGTGCCACGTTCCCGGTTCCCGCGGTGCCGAGGCAGCGCCGAGCGGTGCGGAGCGGTGGGAGGGAGGCGGGCCTTCGGCATGTTACCTCGGGAGGAGAAATAACCCGAGCTGAGGCAGGGCCCCTGCAGGACGTCAAGTGTCGTTTTCGTTCCCCGCTGTAT